TCTTACAGCTACAGCACAAAAGAAAATAAAGCAGGTACTTGTCCAGTTGTGTCACGGAACTTTTTACCTGACCCTTGCTTATTCCCTTACTTAAAAACAGCAGTTCAGCTCTATGGAGCACTGTGAGACAATCAGTTAAAGCCCCTGGTGGGTAGGCACTGGAACAATACTGATAAAGTGAGTGCCTGGGAATAGACGCTATAGGAAATTAGTTTTGTACTAATGCTTCATTCTGCAATGACATAGGGAAACCTTGCTCGAGTGAAGTGTGTTTTAATCCATTACATTTGTGTAAACAGAGATTTAAATTGTAAATGACAATTCAAGTGGTAGAGTTTCATGAGGAGGTTTTAGGAGGACTTTAATCATCTTCATCAATCCTCTACTGTTGGTAAAAATATCTACTGCTGTCATTTGCTTGAGCTAGTTAGCCCTCATTCGTTCTACGTGTTAGAGGATAAGGATACCTTAATATATTAGCCTCAAATGGAGAAAAACATCCACAGCTCTGAAAAATGACTGGTAGTTGATTATGTGGGTGGGTTTGTTTGTTTGTTTTTTTAAATACACAAAGAAACAGTAACAATACAATATTTTTAAACCAAAAAGGTCATAGGTATTGAGATATCCCCTTGAGATTCTCTTAGGTCAGCATCACTACTGAAAGGTTACTTGTCCCCTGGAAATATCTTATACTCTTGATATTCTGCTTCCATCATCCTTATATAGTGTTATTTTTTGTAAGCTTATGTTTTGCTGTCTACTACGTATGGTACTTTCCTTCGCAGATGATAATGCTGAGGATTTTTTTTCCAAAACAAAAACTTCATTTAGTTGTCAGTCCTAATACTTACAGGCACTTTCTTATTTACGTAGCCACGATTGAATAATAGTTTCAGTGGGTATTTGAATAACTAGTTGAAGAATTGGGCTCTCAGATCTCCTTATAGAAAGGAACCGTATTTCTATAGTATACTCCACAAAGGTCTATGAAATATATAACACAGTATAAATAATATCTCCCAATGCTGTTTATTAGGACATAGGATCTTAAACCATATCCTTATTTGATTTTGCTAAGGCCAGTCCCTAAGGAATAATTAATGCCCAAATTCTAAAACTTGACACAGGAGCTAGTCAAAATTCAAAACATGTTTCACTGACATTACAGCTGCTGCAGCAATGTTTCATGAAGTTGCTTTTTTCAAGTATACCATAAGATCAGTTCTTTCATCCTGCTTTTTAATTCCAGGAAAAATCATTTTTGTACCAGGAATTTATTTCTTAGGGTTTTCCAAATACTCCTTCAGTGTATTCTCACTCCAGACAACTCCTGAAAAACAAAAAACATAATAAAATACAAGGCTGGCCCAACATCATATATTTATGAAAATGTCAATAGTCTTAAATCAAAGATGCGATGCTCCTGAACATAATGTGCCTAGAATCCAGGAGGAACATGAGTCTAAATGATCTAAATGATGCCTAATATAAAATGCACAAGGTATACATTGTCTTTGTGTTACTTAAAGTCAAACATAAGTCCTTCTTGCATCATGGAGACTTGCAGTTCTTTGCACCATTTCACATATGACTACTTAGCACTTTTAAACTACATATCTTTGTAATTCCAGTATCCAGAAGATCCAACTTCAATTTCATACAGTTGTTGAAAATGAGTATCTACAAATTGACAGGAAATTCATCAAGGCTGTGCTCCATTGAAGGGTATTAGAAAGAGGGTTGTCCATGGCCAGTTCCTGGAATCTCTTGACAGAAGTTGAAAAAACATTAGTGTTCCTTCCAACCCTGCTAAGACCTGTCCCTCTCAACAGAAGCCTACTATTGTACTGAGGACTACTGAAATATCAATAAGGACAAGTTTCAAGTTTCTCTTCTGTCCTCCAGAGTTAACTCTTCCCATTGTCTAAAGTGGATTTAGATATCACTTTGTTGTCTTTCTTTTAAAAGCTTGTAGTAACATGTAAATTTTTAATGATGAAAAATAGGTGATATATGCTGACCATATTTTGTATGAAGGAAGTCTCAGTATAAAGTGAATGTCACAAAACGTTTCCTAGAAATCAAAGAAAAATACAAAAGTCAGCCAATTCTAAAGCACCTCAGTAACCAGAAAAAAAAAAAAAGACTGTATTTGTAATTAATAATAATTAATTATTATTAATTAATACAATTAATATAATATAATTATATTCAATTCAGATAATATAATTTATATTCAAATGATATAAATAAAAACGATGGAGCCCACAGAGAATTATTTTCCGTATTTAGATGTTCCACTGCTTTTCAAGACTGTCCGTATGAAAAGCACAAGACAAGTCATAGCTTACTGGTAGGTGACAGTATTTAGTCAAGCGTTCTAAGCAAAAAAACCTGCAGCACACCACGATGCCAGTAGAGGGTAGTGACCAGCAAACAAAATCTAAAAGCACTCTTAAGAAACAGAAGAGAAAATCTGCTCATTGATACTACAGATTTCTGGGAAAGCTATGTACCTTCTGACCTGGTGTGCTGAATATTGGTAAAATTTCTTTTTAATACAGGGACCAAGGATTTTTGTTTCTGAAACTATAGTTCAGATTCACCTGCAGTAATGCGAAGTAGACAGTTGTGAGAGTAACTCCTTGTGAGTAAGGCTTTCTATTGTACCTCTAAAGAAAAAGGTTTTTTTCATAACTGTTCCAACACTGCACGTCATCCATGTGACCTGTTAGTTTTACCTTTGTTCTGGTTTGCATCTGAGTAAGAAAATCCTGCAGCTCGTCCTGTTCTGCCGCCAACTAAACCCCAAAGATTTGGTCTTGTCTTGTGCTTTTTCAACTGTGTGGCGCTAAGAACATTGCTGAATAAAGATCTTCTTGTCTTTTTCAACATCACCCATTTTGATCTATGTAAAAAATCTAAAAAAAAAAAAGACATTTTAACAATATTACAGAAAAGTTCGCTGTTGTTGGTCATCTCCTTCTACAGTTTTATAAAATATTTCTGTCTTGCATGGTAATAAAAAAATATTGTGTCTCAAAGTAATGAAAATTTGACCTGAACTTAATTGTAAAGGGAACTTTGGGTAAGACTCTGTTAAGCTGCATGATTTCTTAATGTGATCTGGTTGTTGATGGTCATGAATTAACTTTTTTAAGTTCTCCAATTTACAGTTAGGAAAAAACACCATGTGTTTTTTTTTTTTTCTGCATCTCTGAGAGGTGCAGAATTACAGAATTCGTTATTCTTATCTTGGAGGTTAAGGTAGCTTTAAGTTCCTTGGTTGCTCTTCTAGAGCTACTTCAATGGTAAGGGTAAAGGTCAATGTACTCTCCTCTAGAAGGCTGATCTGATCTAAACTGCAGCAGCACCTCAGGATTTCCCTGTGGGTCATATTGCTACGTAGAATGTCTCCAGAACTGCCGAATTCAACTCCTCCGGTGCCCGCCAGGACACGTCCACGATAAGGGGGATTTCCAGAGGCAATGGCCTGGACAGAGGCGGGTTGGAAGGGGAGTGGAGCACCTCTTGGCCCCTGAAGGGCACGAAAGGCAAGGCTGCCTCGCTGCTTCCTGGTGGCACCCGGGCACCGGCCACCCGTCCTAAGCCTGGTGAGCACATGGCCCGTCAAAGAGCCTGTGTCATCAAATCAATGTCCAATCGTGGAGAGGAAAACTCAGCGTATTACCTCCTGATTGGCATGTCACAGGTCCACAGGGTGGGATTAAGCATGGCGCCCATCTTCCTGGCATGAGCAGGAGGTGGCGGGTGCCAACGGCTGGGGACACACACAACAGTGTCATGGTGCCCCAGGCAGCGCCACCTTGCCTCTGCAGTCACCTTCCTCATGCCGAAATGCTTGCTTTTCGGTGAGTGTTGTTGCAGCCCCATCATGGCTCCACTCCGCAGTGCCAGAAAAAATGGTGTCAGGAGTTGGGAAAACACAAATGCACTGTTCAGTGCTGGAAGGGATGTCGCCTTCCAGCCCTAAAACACTGCTCCTCATGTGTTGAGTCATAACATCACTTTTCTCTAAAGACTTCTCACTGGTGTGCAAAGAAGGAGCTTACCAGATTTTCCGAAGTATTCTTTTACATGGAACCAAACCCAAACACTATATCCAAAATATGTTCCTCCAAAAATAGTCATCAACCTTTGACATAACACTCCTGAGCAGAAAACCATTTAACCCCCACAAAAAAGCCATTTCCAAGGCCACTGGCATGACTGTGCAGTGCACGAAATACTGCCTCCTCCAGATCTTCAGATTGCCAGACCTTGCGTCCATGAAACTTCACTGATATGAACTCGACAACTACATTTATGTGTGTGAAAGAGCGGAAGGGGGGGGGTGGTGTGTGGGATTTCTGCATATTTAATTTGCTTGTGGAAAAAACATAGAAAGTGTGCACACCCCGATCTGATTTCTTAATTTAACCCCGTTTTGCACCAGGAGGTGTTGGTCCTTTATGATTCCAGTAGGAGTGGCACTTAGGCACTGTAAAGTATGACCTACAATGCTGTTTATTTCAATGCTAATGAGAGAATAGCATAGATGATCTCACATCCCTTTAGATGGTGAGAGGCCCAGGTGGTGAAGCAACAAACACATGCAGCATTCCGTGCAAACCTTCTCCATAGTAGAGAGTCTCTTATTTTACTCTTTCAAGCTTTTATAGTATTTTCTTACAAGAAAGCAACTCTATCATTTCTACAGTCCAAATAGAAACGA